AATCCATTAAATTTAAAATATACAAAAATGAATAAATAAATAAATAAATAAATATTTCTCAACTGTTGTGAGTGACCCCCAGTATGAAAAGAACTGAGAAAAATAAATATATAAACCAACTGCAATTAATGTCTTTATTTCTGACCAGTCTGTAGAAAGCAGATTAATATATTATTACATTTAGTGAATGTAAACATAAAACATAATTATGCTAAACATTTAATTTATATCTTAAGTGAACATATCAACTTTGACAGCCCTAAAAAGGACCCCCTAGCAAAGTCTCACGGCCCCCAGTTTGAAAACCCCTGCCTTTGTAGAAAACATGAGTCACAAACAACAGAAGCCGCCCTACCGCTGTATACTGCCTGAGAAGAAGCATATGTCAGACTTCAGAAACACATTCAATCCAGAAAACCACGAGAAATAAAACTGCTCTGTAATTAAAGGCCATGAAACACTTCACAGCCTCTATAAAACATTCTGCTCAAAACGACACATTAGACAGAAACAGGATGAAAACAGCAAACAAGCGTCGCTGTTGTGGTTAAAGTCTCACTGACACATGCTTACAAAGTCACACAAACGCACATTGTGTGAAGTTTTGACCAGCTAATCAACAACTCGAGAACTCGTTGAAGAGAGACGGATGATGCATCTACTGCTCTCAGTTTACACGCGTGCAAGCACAAATAAACACTGCAAAATAAACTATTACAAACATCATCAACCAGTGAAGGACTTACTCACCCTCAGGCCATCCCTGATGCAGTGCTACATTTCTACAAACCTGATGAAGACACAAACTCAACTACATCTAAGACGGCCTGAGAGTGAACACATTTTCAGATAATTTTCATTTTTGGCTGAACTATTAATGTTTGAGTCCTTGATATCATACCAGTAAATACAGAACACAATTCAGTTACGGCAAATAAGAGGTTTATTACCCATCAACAGTGCTGTAAGGTTTTGGAACTGAAACAAGAGAGCAACTACCACTTCTGTTAATCAGCAAAGGAATCGTGTAATTAGGCCCAGTGTTTCCCACACATAGACTTTACTTGGGTGGGTCGCCCAGGTATATTAACGGCCGCCCAAGTATATTTCAAACCTGTGGGAAACACTGAGGCCTATATCCAAATATCAGCCGTTTATCACTATCATGATAACAAAGACACGTCAGATCGCTGTCTGTCTCTCATCATGTGCTCCTGCTGGTTTAGCTGCATTTAAAAATGTTTGATTAAATGCTGATGTGACAAATAAAAAGGTGAATCAGTCATAAATTCACAGGGAACTGGAAGAGTTGCCGGACATTCACTGAAGGAAACGCTGAACAACATCAGGCTCGACTGAGCTGCTTCAGTGTTTATAACAAACATCAACCTGATTAACATTCCAGCCACATCACAGGACTAGTTAACCCCTCCACACACACACACCTCACACAGATCTCTATTATGAGCGTTTAAGGAACTGAATTTGTCCTGTGCATGCAGAGCACGAATGTAGTGCACTAGTATTAGTGCTGTATCTCTTTAAGAACTCTATTAGTCAGCCCACAATGCCTGTGAAATCTTGTGGTTTGAGACCACATCCCTCAAACACAAGTCACACACACACAGACACAGTCACACACACACACACACACACACACACACAGAGACACATAGATACACACACACACACACACACACAAAGAGAGACACAGAGACACACACACACACACAGTCAGTCACACACACACACACACACACTGAATATTTACCAGGTAAAGAGACAAACATTCCAGCAACTGAGCAACCAGAGAGAAAGACAGAGATGCAGAAACACAGAAAAACTGAAAGAGAGAGAAAGACAGAAAGACAGACGGAAAAACAGAAAGAGAGAGAGAAAGAGAGATGCAGAAAGACAGGAACAGAAAGACAGATGGAGAGAAAAACAAAGAGAGACGGAAAGACAGAGAGAGACAGACAGAAAAACCAACAGAAAGACAGAGAGAGACAGACAGAAAGAGAGAGACAGACAGACAGACGGAAATACAGACAGAAAAAACAGAAAGACAGACAGACTGTTTTATATGTTTACATGTTTCTCCACATATACGTGACCCTGGAGCACAAAACCAGTCATAAGGGTAAATTTTTTTTAAATTAAGATGTATACAGAGTCACTTATTCCAAGCTTTGGCAATATTGTATTTTTTACAGTCATGCCAATAAAGCAATTTTGAATTTGAATTGAATTGAAGACAAGAGACGCAAAAAGACAAGAGAAAATCAACCAAGAGAAAAACTAACGTAACGTTACTGAAAAGTGAACTAGAAAACAATCCGACAGTCAGTCTTTTCACACTTTTACAGAGCAAGAATTTGTAACATCAAGAGTGATTTCTAAGCGATGAAATATTTCAGAGCGTTACTGAAATGACATATCATTTATACTGACGATAGAAATGTGCTGTTTTAAGGCCTGGAAACTCAGTTTTAGAAGTAAGAGCGATATTCGGCGCTTTCCGCGGCTGTGGACCGCATCAGTCACATTCTGAGATTCGCTCGCGTTCATTTCGGAGTATATTCCGCTTACTGACAGAAAAACAGTTCAACAAACCGAACATAAAGTCACGGACAGTTACTCAGATGAACATGAATGAACTCCACACTTACAGGCGCGTCTGCGGCAGAACTTCAGCGTGTTTTATCGCTCCGGTTGTTGTTGTTGTTCTTCCGCGGATGGTTGTGTGTTTCTCAACGCCAGTCAGACGCACCAAATCCCTCTGAAACACTCAGAAAAAGCCTGTAAGAAACTTCCGCAGGCGGCGCGTCACATGAGCGTGTGAAACTCCACAGCAAGCGACTTGTTTGACGCGACGCGACACTCAGGGCGGCAAATACCTCAAATGGCGGTTGCTATGATACACAACGGTCACATTGTTCGGGGGCGCGAGGCGGCGCAGAACTCACAAACACCGCACTGAACCCTAACGACACCTTCGTAAGATTGATAAAAGTATAATAATTTAAACACATAACCCAAAGGATTGTTATCTGACACACAAAAGGAATTTCTCTTTATGAATCTTTAAAAAATTATTTTTTTTAAATCCTCATCGAATCCTCACACTCGACTCTGATTGGTCCATCCTGAGCAGCGCAGAGAAAAGTAACACGCTTTTGTTTTAAGAATCCACATTAAAAACAGATAATAATAATATTGTTACTGTTTAATATATGATGTATATTAATTATTTTTATATTTATGTATCAATTAAATGCACAAAACACCTCACTAATTAATATTATTATTAATATGTATGAATATATTTAATACTATATAATATTAATAATAATATGATAATAAATAAAAAATAAATAATATATATTATTTTTTTCTATATCAATTAAATGTACAAAAAGACCACATTTATATCATATATATTATTTTATATATTGTTTATTAAGTATATATCATATATTATATATTATTTCTTTAAGTGTGTGAGTGTGTGTATATAATTTAAAATATTTATTAACTTAATATATATAATTTATATTATATTTAAGGACTTTCTGTGTTGTAAATTTATAAATAGGAAACATTTATGTATTACATTCTGATATATTCTGGTGTTTATGGATAGTTTCATTGTATTTTAATGTTTCTAACGGCAGCATTACACGCGTTGGCCGACAGGCGGCGCTACAGAACTATGAGTGAATATTAGCCTGTCCCCTTGTCCAAATACTCACAAAAGTTATACTCACACTTGTGTTCTTCATGCTCACTTGAACACTTGGACCAAATACAGGAAATACGTCATATAAGTAGTCAAGAGGTCAAGTGCAAAGACCGCAAGTGCGGGTATTTGGACAAGTGTGTGTTGTGATGGAACAGCATACTGCATACAGCACAGCATATACTGCCTACTTCTGAAGTTTAGCATGCAGTATGCAATGACTTCAAACAGTAATGTGCTACATTTTTTCCTCATTACAATACAATACGTTTTATTGTCAGAAATAAGAAAATGTAGCATTTGTAACCTTTTTTTGTGCATAAGTGCGTCACAGTTGATGTCATCCCTGGTTCATTTGTCAAGTTGGTCAAGGCAACCGCATTGCATTATGGGACACGCTGCACATCTTGTAGTAGGTCATGCAGGTGTTCCCTTCATAGTGTGCACACTGCAAAAACAGTTTAGTATAAAACAGACATCATTTAAACAGTGAGACTGTACAGAGGCTGCAATGAAATGGTTAACCATCAGTTGTTTGTTTCATAAAGAGGTATAAAGTATGTTTTTCATCATCAGTAGACAATAGTGTGGGATGAGGGTGAGTCAGAGTCTAGCAGCCGAGCGGCTCGAATGCCTTGTGTGGGCGCTGAAGAAAGTCATATACACCTACGATGACTTGAGGGTGAGTAATTTATGGGCTAATTTTCATTTTGGGTGAACTAACCCTTTAACTGTCTCAAAAATTTCCTTAAATTCATTAGAAATCAAAACAGACACAAGTTAACATTTATCATATAGTAAGAGTAAATAGATATATAACTAATGTGAATATAGATGTGAACATCACTCATATTCTCCATATTCTATAGTTCACGCAGACTTTGACAAATTTGAGGACAATTTGAGAATTTTTTCTGATGAGAAATTAAATTTTTTATATTATTAAATAATATATTTTTAATTGCATTGATTACATTTAGTTTTATTTTAAAGAAACAACTGAGATATTTTCTTTTTTCTGTTATATAGGCAAAGTTACAGAAATTGACAATTTACTTTTTGCAAACTATGTTCATTAAAAAAAAAGAAGGACAGAACGAGTCATTTTTCCCCATGTTTTCACAAACATAACATAACTTTTCCTGTCGACTCGATGTCTTTCTCTGGTAGTTTCTGTTGTTATAAACAGAAGACACAATGCAGAGCTCCCAAAACACAGGCAGTAATTGGTTTTTAATTCTTCGTTACTACATTCATTCATTCATTGAACTCTAGTGTCATACAGCAAATCGACATCAGCGCCCTCTGTGTGTCTGGAGACAAACTGCATGCATAAGGTCCGAAATAATTCAAAATCATCTGAATTCAGCAGTTTAATGTGCTGATCTGACAGGGAACTCAGAAGCGCTCACAGATGTGTGTGAGTGAGTGAGTGAGTGAGTGTGTGTGTGTGTGTGTGTGAGTGTATGTGTGTGTGTGTGTGTGTGATTGAG